GGACAGGGGACAGCGGGGACACTGATGGGACAGTGGGGACATGGACAGGACAGCGGGGACATGGACAGGGGACACTGACAGGACAGTGGGGACATGGACAGCAGGGACACAGATGGGACAGTGGGGACATGGACACAGACAGGGGACAGTGGGGACACCGACAGGACAGCGAGGACATGGATGGGACAGCAGGGACACGGACAGGGGACAGCAGGGACACCGACAGGACAATGGAGACATGGACACAGACAGGGGACAGTGGGGACACCGACAGGACAACAGGGACATGGATGGGACAGCAGGGACATGGACAGGGGACAGCGGGGACACCGATGGGACAGTGGCACAGGAGCTCACGGACACAGACACAGAGTGACAGCAATGGCTCCAGCACAGGGAAGGAGTGCAGGACATGGCAGGAGAGCAGGAAAAGCACAGGACGGAAAGTGCCACCACCAAACTGTCCCCGCTGTGACACACACAGTCCCCGTTCCCACGGCACAGTGCCACCCTGCCCAGCTGGGGACACGGATCTGTGCCAGGCTCAGCGGGCTGTGGTGCCAGGAGAAACCACCCTGCTCGGGCAGCTGCTGCTGGGGCCAGCGGGACGAGCCGGATCCGGGCACAGCCCATGGGAAGGGATCCCACTGTCCCACTGTCCCATGGCACTGTCCCCATGCCCCATGGCACTGTCCCCATGCCCCATGGCACTGTCCCAATGCCCCATGGCACTGTCCCCATGCCCCATGGCACTGTCCCACTACACTGTAGCACTGTCCCAATACCCCATGGCACTGTCCCACTACACTGTGGCACTGTCCCAATACCCCATGGCACTGTCCCACTACACTGTGGCACTGTCCCACTGTCCCATGGCACTGTCCCCATGCCTCATGGCACTGTCCCAATGCCCCATGGCACTGTCCCACTACACTGTGGCACTGTCCCACTGTCCCATGGCACTGTCCCACTGTCCCGTGGCACTGTCCCACTGTCCCGTGGCACTGTGCCACTGTTCCGTGGCACTGTCCCACTACACTGTGGCACTGTCCCAATACCCTATGGCACTGTCCCCATGCCCCAGGGCACTGTCCCACTACACTGTGGCACTGTCCCAATACCCCATGGCACTGTCCCACTACACTGTGGCACTGTCCCAATGCCCCATGGCACTGTCCCAGCCTGGCACTATCCCGCTGGCTCAGCCTGGCTGTGGGCTCACTGCTGGCACTCTGTGCTGGGGACACCCATGGTGACATCCCAGGGGCCAGCAGGGCAGGACAGCTCCAGGGCACAACACTGCTGTCCCCAACCCCCTGCCAGAGAGCCCAGCAGGGCTGTCCCTCTGTGCCAGCCCAGAGCTCCCAGCATCATGTGCTGAGCCCAGCTGGCACGAGCAGGGACACATGGCACCGAGGGGACAGGGCTGTGGTGGCCTCAGCTATGTGACAAAC